CGCGCACGTTTGTGTTACGTAGAGCTCAAAGCACAAATTACATGTTTACGTAGCTCAAGCAACAAATTAATTATTTAGTAGCTCAAAAGCCACAAATCATTTATATGTTACGTGCTCAAAGCAACAACAATACTTATATTTACGTAGCTCAAAGCATCAAATCTTATATTTACGCTAGCGTCAAAAGCCAACAAATCTTAATTTAGTAGCTCAAAGCACACAAATATCTTATGATTAGCTCAACCCACAAAATATTATATTAGTAGCTCAAAGCAACAAATCTTATGATTTACGTAGCTGACAAAGCAACAAAGCTTATTATTTACTAGCTCAAAGCAACAAATCTTAATAATTACGTAGCTCAAAGCAACAAAATCTTATTTTAACGTTAGCTCAAAGCAACCAACATCTTATATTTACTCGCTAGGCTCAATGACAAAATTCTTATATTTAACGACCCCCCCCCACATAGCTCAAAGCAACAAAATCTTTTATATTTACGTAGCTCAAAGCAAAATTCTGTATGGATTTACGTTACGCTTCAAAGTAAACACATCTTATATTTACGTAGCTCGAAAGCAACAAAATCTTATACTTTACGTAGCTCAAAGCAACAAACATCTTATATTTACGGTAGCTCAAATCCAACAAAAGTTATATTTTTACGTATTGCTCAAAGCAACCAAAATCTTATATTTACGTAGGCTCAAGAACAAAATCTTATAATTATATTTACGTAGCTCAAAGCAACAAAATCTTATATTTACGTAGCTCAAAGCAACAAAATCTTATATTTACGTAGCTCAAAGCAACAAAATCTTATATTTACGTAGCTCAAAGTAAACAAAATCTTATATTTACGTAGCTCAAAGCAACAAAATCTTGTCGCCTAGCATTTTTGCTTCTATACAGATATTATATTAAACTTTAGCGAATTTTTCATTTTCAATCGTGAAGTTTTCAGCTGTAAATACGTACGCGCATGATTGTTTACGTAACTCGTAGCGGTTGTTTACCTAACTTGTTTACGTTGATTTCTTACCTGCGCATAGGCAAACAAACAGACACACGACAATGTCCCTCATCGTCACGTATCTTCGTGTCTCCGGTTGTGATTGTCAACACTCTCTCTCTCTCTCTCTCTCTCTCTCTCTCTCTCTCTTTTCTCTCTGTCGCACTCTCTCTCTCTCTCTTTCTCTCTCTTGCACTTTCTCTCTGCCGCACTCTCTCTTTCTCGCTCCTGCACTTTCTCTTTCTGTCGCACTCTTTCTCTCTCTCTCTCTCTTCCTCTCTCTTGCACTTTCTGTCTCTTTCGCACTTTTTCTTTCTCTCTCCTGCACTTTCTCTCTTTGTCGCACTCTCTCTTTCCCTCTTTCTCTTATGCACTTTCTCTCTCTGTCGCACTCACTCTTCCTCTCTCTCTCTTTCTCTCTCTTGTACTTTCTCTCTGTCGCACTCTCTCTTTCTCTCTCTGTCGCACTCTCTCTCTCTCTCTTCCTCTCTCTTGCACTTTCTCTCTCTGTGTGTGTGTGTCTGTTGCACTCTCCCTCGCGTTCTCTCTCTCTCTATCTCGGTATCTCTCGTGCGCGCTCTATTTCTCTCACTTTCCCCTTCGGAGAAAACGGTCTGTCGCTACAACCATCAGCGTGTGTCGGACCAACCCGCGTGCGTGCGAGCGTGCGTGCGTGCCGACGTCCTTGGCGCTTTCCATGTGTATCGCCCGAGAGTTAGAAGTGGCGGCGCCGTGTGTGACTTGACGGGCCGCATATAAAAGCTCAGGCAAGGCTGCCGCACCCCGGGGGGCTGGCTGGCTGCTGCTATGCGGGCTTTCGTGAGTAACGGACCATACCCAGCCCGCAGGGCTTGGGTTTCTTGCCTCTCTCGCTCTCGCTCTCTCTCAGAATTCTTAGGCGTGGAGTGTTAGTGAAAACAGGTTTATATAGAATGTCAATTGATAATATAGGGCAGTAGTGGATGGTGGTGCACGTATATATTTATACATATATATATATATATATATATATATATATATATATATATATATATA